ATTTGTCAAATGTACTATCTTGGGTAAATATTCACATATCTTGAAAATTACTGAAGTGGTTCCTTGATTCTTTTCTAAGTATATCATATTTTCCCATTTATGGAGGTTGTCCTTGATAAGCACAAACAGAAGATCTAATATTTAAATAATTGGACTTGCTGTTAAATTAGTTAGACTAGGACCAGGATCAGGGCTGATGTATATGTTTGATCCCAAATCTTTCAATATAGTAGACTAATTAATAAAATCTAAATTTTTTGTCTAAAAGTGGGGTACTTATTTCAAGTTTGGGCTGGTTCTTCCTTAAATGTGGAAATGTTGCTCTAGTCTCCCCCTCCTCCCTTATCTGTTTTTTTTCACTCCCATCTTTCTCTTCACTTAATTGCTCTGTGTTTTTGTTTAATGTGATTGTTCACCAGAAAAGGTGTTTTCTCTTCCTTTCTTTCTTTCCCTATGCCCTGTCCCTCTCTTTTCCCCTTCCTAATTCCACTTCACTCCTCCTCCGTCGATTCTCAAAGCCCTGATCTCTGCACAGTTTCATTTTTCTCTCCTCTGTTCAATATCCCCTTCTGCAATGTATTATAAAAAGTCACTGGTTTCAAACTTGGAATTGAGTTGGTATTGACGAGCCAGAGAAAAATTTTCAGGTGTTTCAGATGCATATTTCACATCATTGCCCATGTTGCTTAATATAGATGAGTATTCTGCCTTAACCACTGAATCAGTGTAACACAGGCTACCTATTTTATCATCTGTTTTTTGTTCTGCCAATTGGAGATAACTGTTGGGAATCTAAGGTTATGAACACTTGTCATGTAGTGCTTTTCTCAATTAAAAGAGAAAAAGAAAGTAGCATAACTTCGTCTATTGTTCCTCTCTCTCTACTCTCTGGGGCATAACTTGTGGTTTCACTACTTCAAAAAGGATTCATTATGTTGATTTAGGTTGGTTCAATTAGTGTATTGGTGTATTTTATTGAGAGCTGTGCTCTTAGAGTAGGAATATTCCAAGGTACAAAACCAAAATTAGTGTCGTGAACTACTAAAGCAAAGGAGAAAGCCCCAAAGGAGGTGAAAAGTGACAGTTGCATTTTAAATAGGATAGATTTTTCAAATGTAGGAGGATGTTTTCTGAAATCTGCTTCTCTTGATTAAGAAGATAACATTAGGCTGTCCAATACAGTTACACTTTGGATTAAGGCGATACTCAATTTAGACCAAAGAAAATTGGCTTGGAGATGCTAGACAGTATCCTATAGTGATAATTTGAAGGTACTTTTATTTGTTTTAGTAATATTTTGGAGTATTCATCTTCAATAATTTTAATTACAATATTAATTAGGTTTCTTATAGGAATATTTCCTGTTTATATCATGTTATCATATTAGGGAAGTACCTTTGATAGTTCTCTGGCTAAATCATATGAAATAAAGCTATAGATATTCTGAAGTTGTCTACCAGGGTTGGAACTTGGAAGGCTATATCTCTGCTAGTAAATTGATTCATATAATTTATGCAAGCAAATAGAAAGTGGAGCTATCAATAGGAGGGTTCATCTTCTTATTTATTCCAAATATTAAGGTTGACGTCTCTTTTGTCTTGACTTTGTTGTCTATAAGCCGGTACTTCATTGTGCATTTCCTCTATAACCTGTAATCATTCTTTTTAAACCTAGTTTCATGGTTTTTCTTTCTCACCAACTTCAATTTCAAATAGACGTTCTTTCATAACAAGCCTTGGGATTGTATCTGAAGACCAGTCATGGCTTTCTCTGATTCTAAAAGCAATATCTTAAGAGGCAGTAATTATACCACTAGTTTTGAAGTTCTGAAACTGTTGTTTGCATTGGCTGTGATTGCTTTTCAATGATTTTGAATATCTTTGTGTCTCTGGCTTAGCATACTAGTTTTAAATAGAATGCCCTCTTGAACTTGTTACCATATCACTAAACCACTTATTCTTGTTTCCCTAGATGCCTGCCACTTTTAGTTAAGCTTCCGAAATGAGTTTCCATAAATCAATATGTGGGTCGAAAGAGCTATCCTACTAATGTAAAAGTTGTCCTTGAAAATTCCTGAATTATATTCGGATGATAAGTGAAATCATTTCATCGTCAGAGAGCTATCCTGTTCCTTTTATTTTCATCTTCATAGATTTGAGTTCCACTATGGGACCGTGTGAATGTTTATATAGGTTGCCAAGAAATAAAGAAGCAAAATTATTATTGATCTCTAAGTTTTGGGTTGTGAAGAACTGTTACAGCAGATTCAAGACTGAATAATAGCACTAGATTCTGTTGATTTATCTGATAGTGTTCTTGATTTTGAAAGCTTATTATGTTGGATTTTCACTTAAAGATTAAAACTTACACAGTATAAATTCAGCCGATACTTTCTGCTAGAGTGGGATACATGCATTTCAAACACAACCCATTTTTTTTAAAATATATTTTATGAACACAAGGCATGGTTTAAGATGCAAGGCATGTTAACAAATGACAGAACTGGCATCTCTTATAATGTTCTGTATGCATAATTTGACCACAAAATGTGTTGTTCTCTATGATATTTTTCTGTTGCAGTTATGTGTTTGGAGCATCGATGGTTGGGAGAAAAAGAAATCAAGGTTCATACAGGCACCATCTGGTCGTCAATCTCCACTATCAGGAGAAACCAAAGTCCAGTTTCACAATGATCAAACTCATCTATTGGTTGTCCATGAAACCCAAATAGCCATCTATGACAGCAAGCTTGAATGTTTGTGCTCTGTAAGTTGTCTACCTTGCATCATTTTTCTTGTATTATAGTTTCTCATTTTTTTTGGGAACACTTTTATGAGACACGACTAATGTGGGAATACAGTTAAAGCAAGCAGCAGATATTATTTACTACTTATTTTGGGGACTATCTGGCCTGAAATTGCCAACTTGATTTGTGAAATATTGGCTATATTATGTAAGCCTCTCATAGTCATGCTCGCTTTTGAGAAAGTAGGTTATTATCATCATAAAATAATTTTCTGCCTCAACAGACAATGGTCCATAATATGATCGCTATTACTTCAGGTACCATTGACAAACAGGACCTAGTATAATTTTTCAGGAGAGTTGTGTCTATCTATTTTGAAATGAATATATAATAATTCAAAGGCATTAGCTTAGCCAATATTGAATTTGAAAATATGCTGTTATCATAAAATTGTAGCCTGATTTTTATGTGATGCAACAGATGAAGTTTGTGAACTGGGCAGCTCTGATAGTGTTAAGTGCTGTTGACCAACATCAATTAAGTAGTGTTTGTAGTGGCCTTGTATTTAGGTTGGGCCTCTTTACCAACTGTTGCTTGGTTTTGGGTTGGATGCTTACCATATAGACTCCTTACATTATAGTTTTCTCAGTTAATTTCCTAGCATAAATGTTGTTAAGTGCTAACTACATTAACTAATTAAACATTAGTTTTATTGATATAAACTTTTCTTCAGTATCAAAATCGTTCTTGAATTGTTGGTAGAGGATTTCTTCTTTGTGGTGAGCTATCTAAGAGTTTGGAACAATAGATAAAAAATTCCCCAATCTGAGTTAAATGTGGCCAGAGCATGACCTATTTCTCTCCTAACTTGGGTGACAGCATCGGCTATTGCTCTGTGGAAAAATCATCCTGGCATTACGGCACATCTGTCAAGCAAATGATTATTTGCTAGAGGAATTTTTAGTTAAATGAAGATTCTGCAGAACCTTAAAGAGGTTTTGACTAAAACACCAGTGGTTACTAGATTAGCATTGACTATGCACTTCAAATTATTATACTCATTTTGTGTTTTTAGTTTGTTTTTCTTTTGGTGGGATTGATTTTATTTTATTGAATATCTATTCTTAAGAGTTGTTCCAATGGTATGATTTTGTAATCAGTTTTGCTGATCCTCGTTCTTGCAGTGGTCTCCAAAGGATTCTCTCAGTGCTCCCATTTCAAGTGCAATATATTCCTGTGATGGCTCTCTGATTTATGCTGGTTTTTGTGATGGTGCTGTTGGAGTTTTTGATTCAGATAACTTGAGGCTCAGATGTCGAATAGCACCTTCTGCTTACATACCTTCGTTCTCTGTCAGGTGATAGCATGAACATTTGATAATTGTTATCCAAAGAAGTTTGATTATTTCTATTGGTTAACTGCGGTATAACTTTAAAATCAATGATCAAAACTTTATGCAGCAGCAACAGCGCGTATGCTGTGGTGATAGCCGCTCATCCATCTGAGCCTAACCAGATCGCGCTTGGCATGAGTGATGGAGCAGTACATGTAGTGGAACCCTCTGATGTAGAACTGAAATGGGGTACACCCTCTCAAGATAATGGGTCCCTTCCTTCTAGTTCATCAAATCCTTCCTTAAGCGGTCAACCAACAGAGCTACCTTCTAGGTGATAGCTGTGTAGATAAGTAGATGTTACCACAAAGTATAGAGAGAGACATTAAGCTGCTCCTTTATGAGTTGTAGTGATAGGAATTATCCTCTTTTACTTTGTAATCAATTGGATGTTATTTAACATTCTTTGTAAATCATTTTCCCACTAATTTTGGCTGTTTTGCTTTATTGCCTTGTTATTTTACGTTTGCTCTGTGCTAGCAACCTTGCAAGACATCTGCAGCCAAAATTGGCCCTCCCCTCCCCCTGCACTCTACCCTTTTGCAATTGCACCTTCTCATTTGATACCTTGGTGAATGATGAGTTTATCTATTTCATTATTGAATGAGGAAGCTGCATTACTTACCCAATGTTTATTAATTAAGTGAAACATCTGCATGTCAAAATAATTTATGACCTTTTTTTTTTCTTTAGCAAATTTGTGTGTGCGTTCTATTTTATTTGGATTTTTCCAATGGTGACATCCAAACATTTGGGTGGCAATCTGCATTCCAATGGCAATGAAGATTTTAATACGGAAATTAATGTCTTGAAAATCAAAAGTTTATAGACAAATCGAGGAAGCATTGAAAGGAAAAAAAAGCTGGGAATGCTGTGAACTTGTTGAAAATAATGGTATTCGGTTTGATTTGTCACAATTGATGAAATTGATCAATGTTTTCTTTGGTTTTTGATGCAAAACAACGTAAATACACAGGCCCTCGGAGCCCAACCCAATCCCAAGTGCCAAGTGTGCTAGAATTGAAAAGGGTTCGTTTCCTTTGAGTTTCGGGTGGGAGAGACTGGGTCTGGGACAGAGCTGAGAAAGACAAAACAACAGGAGTTGCAGAGAGAAGAAGGAAGAAGGAAGATGAGTGAAACAAGGCCAGTCCCTAGGAGAGAGAGTCCATGGGGATTGCCAGAAGGAGAGCATCGACAACCCAAGGCTCATCGTTGCAACGATCGAGCTGAAGATGTTATCCAAGTAAATTTCTCACTCTTTTACCTTTCCTCCTCCTGGCTCTGTGGTTGCTCTTAATTTTTTTTAATTAGAATAAGATAGTTTCCATTTTCAGCTATGTGGAAAAATGGGAAGAACTCTCGTATATTTCATACTTATAGTATTTTGTGGTCGAAATGTTTACATATAGACGGGAACTAGTAAGTTTTGACTTCTGAAGTTCTAAAGTCGGATTTGATTGAACAAAAAAATAAATCGAAAGATCTTTACCCACTTTTTTGAATGAAATTTGGTTTTTGCCAATCTTCAATTTTTGAAGAGAAAGGAAGGAACTTTTTCTATGGCTATACTTTATTTCATTTTATTTTAATAGTTTAGAGCCATGAAGATAATGTTGTCATTATGAAGCATATTATGGAATTACATTTTTTCAAGTCCTGCAAAATTCCTTTAAGTGAACAGCTTATATTTATAGAGTTCGAGACACTCTTTAAAAGGTTCTTGCTGAAGTTGTTTTGGGAGTCATTGTGTCAGCTTAATATGTCGAGTTCGTTCATTAAACTATAGACTTTGGATGTGCAGTGTGAGAAAGGACTTAAAAGCTTTTTTCATGGCACTTGTGTAATAACATTATGCTGACATTTTTAAGGCTCGTTTAGTTGATGCTTTTACATTTTGCTATTTGTTTTGGTTTTTTATTCTTTTTCCTTTCTATTCCTTTTTTGTGAAAAAAAGCAAAAAGCAAGGCGCATCAATCAAATGGAGCTTAACTCTGACTAGTTAGCTTGGTGGATCAGAATTCTTGTTTCAATTTGCTTTTGTTTGGTGCAGGCTTGTTTTGAGGGAAACCCATTTAAGACAGTTCCAGGACCTTTCAAGCTCTTTTGGCAATGCATGCGCTCTAAACCTGGGTGAGTTAGCATAAGTGAATATATCGGAATGAATTAAAAAGGTTTATGGTTGTTGATTTAAATCACAGGTTAGTTTATTTAATAGATACAACCTTATAAGTGATGCAATTGACTGAATGGTAGTCCTCTAAGTTGTTCTATTTGCCAAAGTCTTCAACTCTCAGGATGTTGAAAACTGGGTCCTAGCTCAGTCACACATTGCTAGCTCTTCAATTTGAAACTAAATGAAGTATTTCTCATATATATTTGTAGGAATGCAATGCTTACATTATGAAAATTTGTTCCTTCTGTAACATCTGATTAATGCTTGCTGCTGTGCAGGGAGGAGCCAACAGAACCGTACACCTATTTGCAGCTGGATCCACCGAAGAGAGGTGAAGCCTGAGTGAAGTGTCATTTAATGCATTTTCTCTTGGATTTGGATCCCTGTCTCCATAACAAATGAATAATTCTGAATGCTACTGATATAAGGTTCTTTTCTGTTTAGCAATAAGTATGACCAAGAATTTTTGGAAGTACTGTAGTGTAGACAATCGTTTATTATTTTAACGTGTTGGTTTTCTATCATGTGCATTGCAGGGTTCTTTATTCTTTATTGAATGGTATTCATTTTACTACTGAAAAGCTGTACTACTGTTTGCTTATCATGATTTTCTGCTTGGACTTATGGTGGGGAGACACCTGCTATTTCCTAGGCCCAAAGTGAGTTGGTTATGCATGTATTATTGAATCAATCATCACGGGAGGCTCCCTATTTGATGTTTGGAGATATTGGCAATATTAACTCCTGCTTTCTGATGATCCATTACTTATACCTGTTCGTAGACCATATTCAATTAAAGACTATTGAAATATACTTTTTCTTTTTTCTATGTGTACTCTTTTTCTCTTTTTTTTTTTTTCATAGTTGAATGAGTATTCAATGAGAGATTATGATAGTGAAAAGATGGCCTTGTAAAGTGTGCTAATTGGAAGGCTACAAGTCTTTGTAGTGTTTTGCATAATATAAATTGGAGGCAAGGTCCATTTCACTAAATGTAAAACTAGCTTTTCTTATGTTGTTCAATAACATTTTGGAGATCAATCTTTCATAAAACCTACATATCATACTACATGACAGGTTAACTTTATTTATCTCATTTGTGTGCAATTTTAATCCATTATTCCAACTGAGGGACTTGTACTGATGGATTGTTTATGTAAATCTAGTAAACTCGAATTTACCATGCTTTCATTGATAACAGAAGCCTGCAGTCAGGGTACTGTAAATATGGCAAGTGTTATGTGTAGTGTAGGTTCAACCTGCCTTTATAAATGGAAGATAACCAGCTTGTTTAGAGGCTGTTTGGTACTGCGAATAGTGATGTAGGGTTGGGATTGAAACTAAGCAGTTGCTTTGGTGTAGATTTAGTTAGGTTTTTGATAGATGACTCTTCTAGGGTTTAAAGAGAATGTTCAAGGACTTCACCTAGAATTCCTCAAGAGTCACACTGAAGTTTGATTGCACAAGACAACAGCCATAATTCTGGAAATTCTCTCATAAAAATTCTTTTTCTCTATAGAAAGACCATAGGAATATATTGTCTTCTAGAATTTATAGTGGTGCATTCGCTAATAGAAACCCTATGTTCTATGGTTTAGCTTTTCTACGACGACCATTTTGCTAAAGGCAGGAAAGAAAGACTTTTAATACTTCCTTATATTTGAGTTAAAGATGTAGGCTTGATCTACTCCTATCTTTGTTGATGTAAGTTTTTTTATGGTTACCCTTGACAATAACCTTATTGTTCATTGCATGGCTGCACCCATAAGTTAGATTCATAGCAAAAACAAATTATTTGGATGAATCCGAAATGGCCATTGATTAATGCTGGGGGAGGGAAGTAGTGCATAAAAAATTCAGATGAAACATTTCTGGGATGGTTGGATTGAGTTATACAGAAGGAAAAGGCAAGGCAAAGTTGGCTTGGTAAAGGCCCTTCGATGCTCTCAGATTATGAGTTTGGAGTGTGAAGAGAAAAGTGCCTCTCAAATAGTAGTGGTAATGTTTAATTTACCAAACTTGTTGGCTAACATCATTAGATTCCTCATGCAGACTCATATCTTCTTCTCTCAGCATGGCATCCTGTATAATACAATTTTGATGTTTTTCCTTCACCTTTGCCATTTTTGGCACCAATTTATCAACAGAGGCTTTTTCATTATTACCATATAATCTTGCATCTTGGGCCAAGCAAGTTTTTCCTTCATTGACTGTAGAAAATCCTTCAGCATCAGCTGCACACACCAATTACTTGCATGCTTTGTTGTTCATATCTGCAATTGTTTACTTCATCAGTTGTCAATATTGTTGCTCCTACCAAATCATATTTTTTTTTCTATTTCCTAGCAAGCAACCAAGCAATATTTTTTTGAACATCTTTTTAAGAAACACTAACACAAATTCTTCCTCTTTTATATTGAGAGAGTAATGATTTTATAGTGTAATTTTTGTTTAATTAGTCACATAAAATATATATTAGCGTAATCTAATTGGCTGTAATTTATTAAATTCATTCTTTTTCTTCCATTTATATAACGTTCTTATGCAAAGCAGTATCTTCTAACGCAAAACTTTAAAAACATTTGGCTTTATATCAAATAATATTATCAAAATATCAATTTCTTTGAAATTTGTGGCCTTCCAAACTGCATTAAGCTTAATTATGTGGTAATTGATATTTGTTACTATTAGTTTGTTAGGTAAGAATATAATGGCATGATTCATGGTTGTCTTCAATAAATTAATAGTAGCCAATCATACAACTAAACTTTTATGATAAATGGCACATTCTTCTTTGAGAAAGGCCCCATTTTTAAAAATTTTAATTTATGCACAAAGCTCATTTGAGTTTATAAAAGAAATTATCAAAGTTTTTTCAAACAAAAGTTTAGAAATGCGATTCATTGAAAACTCATCAAATTTTAAAATCGATTTATTAAATCTTAAAATCGATTCACCAAACCTGAAACTGTTTCATTAAACTCTAAACTCAATTGAAAAAACTCTAAAATTAATTTAAATCCTCAAATCAATTCACCAAACTCTAAACTCAATTCAAAAAACTTTAAAATCAATTCACCAAACTCTAGACTGATTCAAAAAATCTTAAACCCAATTCTCCAAATCCTAAAACTAATTTACCAAACCCTAAAAACGATTCACTAAATCCTAAACCCGAGTCAAGAAACCTTAAAATTGATGCACAAAATCCTAAACCACTTCATTAAACCAAAAATTGATTCATCAAATCTTAAAACCAATTCAAACCAATTGAGGTTTTAAAAAAAAAAACTATTTAATGAGATTTTTTTTACATTCATAAAAAGTGTAAAGAGAATTATATTTTTTTCACTTTCATTTTTATTTGGTCTAATTTTTTTTCCACTTGATTTCATTTTTCTATTTCCAATTTATTTTATTTTTTTCTTTTAATTTAAAACTTATGAAATTAATGAAGCTAAATAATTTATTTTTTATTTATTAAAAATAAATGAAAATATTATCAATTAATTTGTATATATCCTAAAAATACTTATTAGTATCTTAACTTCCTTTATAATATTTCTTACAAAAGTTTCAACATAGCCAAACAAACCCTTAATATACCATCAATCAAAATTAGACGTCTGCATACTTTACTTCCTTAATATTCCTTAATGCCTGTAGTCAAGCATGTATGAACAAAACATATAATTGAGATTAAGATAATTGAAAACGTTTGTCACAATTAATATGCAAAATTGGTCTCCACATCTTAGACTCATTATTAGCAAAATAATGGACGGAAAAAAACATTATTGTAAAATCCAAACATAGCCATCAAAGTAAACTCTGGTTGCTGGACTAGAAAAAACCAGCAAGGGAGGCAACAAACCAAGGTTTGAATCCCTTTATCAATGTGTAGTGTCTCATGCTTTTCTTCTATACTTGTTTCAGTTTTCCTCCTCCGCTTCTCCAGCAGGTATACAATTCTGTGACAGTATTTGCAAGGCTGGTCTGGTCTTCCCAAATAACTGCTCATAGATCAATGAGAATCCAAGTTAACAACACTGAAGCAATGGAAAGCATTACTATTTATAATGACTTTGAAGGCAAAGATAAGGAGTAAAAAAATGGACCTCACCATACTATCATTCTTGTCTTCTTTGTTCTTCTTAAGGTCAGCGATCTTTAGTTTGTCAAACTTCTTTGTTAGCTTCTTTAGATTCCTTAGACTCATATCTTCCAATTTCTGCATAGTTTCCTCATCAATGATGTTCTTGTTTTTCTTCACCTTTGCCAGGCTAGGCTCCACTTCCTTCTCGCTGTTATTGTCAATGTTCTCCTTATTTTTATCTGAAACTTGCGTCATCTTTGGAATTGTTGGCTGTTTCTTGCTTGAAGATTTCCTTGGTGTAGAACGAGTTGGCTGAGAAAATTGAGCTGTCAATGGTGACAATGGTATTGAGCTTGTTCTTGCACTGTTGGAGACAAGAGAAGCACAAGGACTCGTTAGCTTTGCAGCAGTGGGACTTTTCTTCTGTGAAGGGACTTCCTGGGTGGTCTCTGCATATTCCTCTGCTGCCTTTACACAGACATCAACCAATGCTTCTGCATCACCAGAATCCAGAATCTTGTCAACTGAGATATCAACAGCAACTGACTGTGGAGCATTGTAGAATGAAGTTTCTCCCACGTAGATTATTTCAGCTTCAACTACATTTACATCCATCAATGCTTCTTCATTCACCATACTACTCATTGGATCGTCAGAGCAATAGGCGGCTGTTTCACATGGAACTTCCTCTTGTAGTTCATCAACTAAAGTATTGTTGTCAGAACCTGAATTATCATCAACATCTGAAACAACAATATTTGACCCAGTAACAATTTGATCTGGATCATCCTCAGATTCTTCATTTCCCAGCATTTCCAAGGAATCCATAAGGCCTTCAGGCATAGCTGAATCATTTTGAGATGCTTTGCCATCATCATACTCTTCAGCTTCCGGAAGTTTGGCTAGATCATCATTAACTACATTAATGTCACAATCTTTGGCAACTAACTTCTGGCATTCTTCTCCAACCACAGCTTCTATTGGCTCCATATATTCTGCAGATGAAGCATGATCCAAGACCTCAGTGTTCTCATCAGCATGAGAGCCCCCATTGTTTTCAGCTACCAATTCCTCACTTGAGTTGTCAATCTCATATGAGCCTTGAGGAACAGCATAATCATATCCTGCAATGCGACAACCATCATTTACTGAGGGAAAACATAAATGGATAGAGAAACCTTTTTTAACAAATTGAACAATTCCAAAGAGGGAATACAAAAGCTATCATACCCTTTGGATCCATGGTTCCATCAGACATATCTGCCAGCTTGTCAGCACTTTCAGCCAAATAAGCATCTGGCTCATTGGTCTTCTCATCAGGGTATGCATCATTTGTATCTAAGGCTAAGAGACAGTACAAATTATCAGGTTTTTGAGAACCAGCCTCTGATATCACTGTGCAATCATATTCTGCATTGTGAACATCATCTTTCAAGTCCCTTTCACCTTCAAGGGACACACTTAAATTTCGAGCCAAAGTTTCTTCTGATGTAGGTCCTGTATATTCATGATCAGACTCATCAATCCTACTTCAGTAATGAGATAGTGTGTAAAAAATCTGAAAATTGAAATCTCAAATTCATTAAAACAACGAATACCAGATTGACGATTCTTGTTCTCTTCAATTTCATCCTCCACCATTTCGTCAATCTTCACAGGCTCCATTCTTCCACTCTCCTTCAAACTCAACCCTTCCATGCTCTTCTCCAACAACCTTACTGACCGCCTCGTAC